ACGTTCTATTATATCTTGAAAATAATATAGTCTTATGTAGATATATAACTGTAACAATGATCACTACTAGTTAGACTGTGGTGCCAGAAGCGTTTGTGACAATGGACCTGAGCGCACAAATTTCTAATTTCGCAAGCATCGTTAAAGTCATTTCTCCAAAAGGGGGCTGAAGGCCGCCTAGAGGCGTTACCTGTTTTAACCACTCGTACCACTATACAGCAGTGTGTTGTTTATTAGTCAGTTAGTAGACACCAAAATAACGTCGCAATATATACTGTCGTGACGTCAGTAAAACGTGCGCATGCCATGAATCACGAGAAGAATCATGCTCTCTGTAGGCTACAACACAACATGACATAGGAACTTTAAAGCAAGAAGTAAAAATATTTTGGTTTTATTTACTTTTGAAACAGAACACTTTCAGAGACCCTGCGAAAGTATATTTAGTTTAATTTTTGCTTTTTCTCAGACTATAAACCCTTTGGACAAATGATGTTCTTATAAGACTTAAAGGCTTTTAAACTGATACAAAAACTTGGGGATAGTGTTATGGATTGTGGTTTTTTTAGAATAGGTCATTAGCTTGATTTAGAGAGAAACATATACACTGACTTTAATATCTGAAGGTTTTATTAGTATTACCAGTGGGATTTTTGTGATAAGTTAGTGACCCGTTTTTCTAATAATTCCTTTTTTTTTGTTTTTATCTCTAACCTTGTATCACAACCAGTTTGTTAATGCCTAAGATATAATTTGTTAATTCTATTTAAATTTGAGTGAATATGTAGCTATAGTTGTGTCTAGTGGTTTTGGTTTTAACTTCGATTTGTGCATTGGCGTTTTTATGGTTGATTTATTCAACCTTTTAACTAAGAGCTGCTTTCGGGAGTCAAGAAAATAGTAATAGATTAATAATACTAGGATTTGAAATGGGATATAATCAATGATTTGGTAGAATCTTCAGTTAACTTTAATGTTCCCTTAGAGTTAGGAATTACTGTTTTATCATTGAAAGAATTGTTAAAATAAGGATGTTATAGATATTGAGGTCACCAATCAACAAGGTATTAGGGTTAGGATGAGGTCACCATATTAGCAATACCATTTTTACGTTCAGGTCACCATACCAAAAATCTATCACTGTTCCATTAAGGCTATCAAAAAGCGTTTGGTGTGTGTTTATAGCACCATGCCAACATTCTACAATTGTTATGCTTACGTCACCATATAAACCAGCTTTTTGTGCTCCATTCAGATCTTCGTATTAGTAATTTGTACTTGATACGTTCTGATTACTTTGCCAACTCTTGTCACTAAAATGCCCTCTGCACTTTGGAACTATACATGCTTTATAAGTTGTTGTTGAATTTTCCGCAGAGCTAACCGTTCCTTAATTTGAAGCGATAGATTAGAGATAAGGCAGCTAGTCAACACCACCCATCGCCAGTTATTGGGCTACTTTTAAGATCATACACAGAATTATATTTGGCTTATGGAACAAAAGAACGTTTTTAGACAATGACGTAAGACTAGAGCACAGAACAGCTGTTATAGTCAGAACATTTTGCATGTACAACATTGACATAGCTGCTCTAAGTTAAACAAGGCTGGCAGATTAATTCCACCTACAGAAGGTAGACACATTCTACATCTACTGAACTGGTAAACCCAAAGACCAACCTCAACAATCTTGTGTAGGATTCGTTATACGACCCAGAATTGCATACGAACAAGCTTGGCTCACTCTGCAATATCAATAGGCAGGACAGAATTTCCGCTATTGCAACTCTTAAGAGGTGTTGCATCCCAGGCATGGAGAGCATACATTACCAGAGTCCAGCTCTGTTGGGTCAAGTATGTGGTTCACATGGAAGATAGCCACAAACCAAAAATAGTATACTACAACCAGTAAAGCACAGAACTTCGCACCACAGGATGGTCCATAGTCAGATCGTATCTTATTATCACCTATACGTTATAGATAGTTCTTAACGTTCAACTTTATTCATTATTTTTGACTGTCCGCTTTGTAAATTGGACATGTATGTAGGAGATAGTTGATGTCGGATTAGTTGTATTGAACACAGTTCATTGTATGTTTTGATAAAATTTTATTTTTATTTTCATTACATTAATTTGGTATTTTAATTAGTGTATTATATTTTTTTATTATTTATTGTACGATTTTGTTATCGATATAACAACCTAACTCCGAATCAACCAGACCAACATGTATACTTTTTAGTTACAAAGTAGAGTAATTTTCTGTGGCCATTTCTATGGGTGTAGTGGTCGTAGTAGTTTTCTATCTCCACAAAATCAACCACTCTTACTTCTTTATTTATGGCTGTTCATTTTTCCTGTGATTCTGTGAACATGCCTGACTCTAGTAGACGAGTTTCTATTTGGTCCTGTGACATTTCTATTAACACCAATAGAAGTTTTTTCTGACCTCTTTAACGGTTTGCTTCATCTGCAAGTCGTATTCCGTTATGATAGCGTTCACATCTGCTACAATGGTAGCACGTCGAGTATCTTGCTACCTTACACCTACAAGTAAGCTTTCAGTATGATGTTTCTCACATCTAACCTCCAAGATGTGTGTATTCTTCAAAGAAGAACCTCTGGTTTTCCTTGTAGTTCCCGATTAGTGCCTGCGCGACAATCTTTATAGATATAGTGTTACAGAAATGAATAAAAACCCTACAACCCGAGCGCTTTCGAAAGGTAGACCTTTCTTCTTCAGGGGGCAAACAGGGCATTTCCAGTTTGCCCCTGT